ACATTAAGTAGGATGATGTGACTGGAACTTTGCAGAGAATAGCTTTGCAACTGTGAACTAAAATGTAGGCTACATCTGGTCAGAGGCATGTGTCACTGGTGGAATAAGAACCTCTGCTATTTCTTAAATGACATTAAAATTAATGCTGTACTTCCATCACTTTGCTTCTGCTACCCTGCCACATGGTTTTCCATATTTTACAGTGCACACATCATTTGAGTTCTGAAGAAAATTTGCTTAGTCAAAAAGTCAGCTGTATTCAAATTATTCATAAGGGAAATTGCATCTTAGGCAATTAAAGTATGTGCTGGGCAAAAGAAAATGTTGCTTCCTGAAAGCAAAAAGAGGATGCTTCATCTACTAGAAATTCTATTACAAATTCTTTTCTGTTACTAAGCACCTAATATTGAAAAGAAGCTTGTTCTAATCAGGAAGGAATTATACAAGGTCATGGGGGAAAAGGCTTATTTCAGTTTACATTGGTGCTTTTCTACTCTTGATATAGGCTTTCTTGCACTTCTATCAAATTCAAAAAATAAATCAAAATGTTCTGTACATTAGTTTTATTTTCCTTTGAAATGCTGAGGGAGATCAATCCTGAAAAACAAAAAAAAGTACTTGGAGGCAATGGGGCAATTATTTGAAGGTACAAGAGCGCAGGTGGTGTTTTTCTCGGTCCCTTCAGTGGCAGGGGAAAATACTGAGATGAATAGGAAAGCCTACCTGATCAATACATGGCAAAGAGGCTGGTGCCATCTATGGAATTCTGTGTTGATTGATTGATTGTTTTATCACAGGACAGTTTATATGGTAATGGTCATGCTGGAGACAGATAGGGTTTTCCTGCCTCGAAGGGGAAAAAATATTCTAGACAATGATTTTCCGGGGCTCATTGGGAAGGCTTTAAATTAGGTTTAGAAGGAATGAGGTAAAACCAGGCTTGCTAGAGATGAGCCTAAGGGCCCCTTTCCAAGATTGCCAAGGACACTGAGGTGTCGGAACATGTCCAGAGAAGGGCAGTGAGGCTAGTGAAGGGTGTGTAGCACAACACTGAGGGAACTGGTGTTGTTTAATCTGGAGAAGGAGAGGCTAAAGGTTGACCTTATTATTCTCTACAGCTACGTAAAAGGAACTTGTAGTGAGGTAGGGATTGGTCTCTTTTTCTATATATCTGGTGGTCGGATGAGAGGTGAAGTTAAGTTGAGCCAGGGGAGTTTCAAGCTGAGTATCTGGAAAATTTCCTCTCCAAGGGAGTGGTGAGGTGCTGGAACTGGCTGCCCAGGGAAGTGGTGGAGGTTTTTAAGAAACATATAGATTTAGCACTTAAGGATGTGGTTTAGTTGGCAACACTGGTGGTGACACGTTGACGGTTGGACTTAGATGATCTTAGAGGTCTTTTCCAACCTTAATGATTCTATGAATTGATTTCATTTTCAGCTTGGCTTGCAGTGGTATGGAAAATAGGAGAGCAAGAATGATGTGATCAGGCTTTGGATTCTGTAGTCATGCTCCTCATATGGAAGTAGGGTTAATTTAGCTGGAAAAATGTAAGTAGAGTAGTTCTGGAATAAACAGTGCACTTTCATCATCAGTCTTTGATAATTTACTAGGAAGGGAAAAGAGCTAGGCCATATTTAAAATTAGCCTGAGGGAATAAGGTAGTATACTATGTATCTTTTGCCCCCTTAGAATATAAATTACTCCATTTGAGCCATTAAAAAAATTGGTTTTCTGCTACATGTATGTCTAGTTGCAAATCAGGATTTTTATGACCCTTACAGCAAAACTGTATTATTTGGGCTGTCACATTATTTGGGCTTATAAATTAATAATTCCTGTCAGCATTCTCCTCGATGTATTTATTTTTCTTTTTTTTTAATTGAATTTTTTGTAAACTTGCCCTGAAAAAGTGAATGAACTGAAAATAACCGAAGATCCTACAGTTCTCACCCCAACAATCTTTTTGATGGTCAGCTGCATTCACTACCTGTAGAAGGAGAAGCCACTCTGTTCATTTCTAGTCTTCTCTGTTTAGAGTGGGTAAAATCTGACTGAGTCCTGTTAATTCTGTACCAGTCTATCTCTCTTATTCAAAGATTTGTGAAATTCCTGTGTCTCTTTGTTCTGTGCAAACCTTTGGAAGTACTTAGCGGAAAAGGAATATACCATTTCAAATTGTTGCGTGTATTTCCAGATTATGCGGAAATTTATAGAACCTAGACCTTGGCATCTCTTATTAGCTGGCTGAAGGGGCTGAGGTGATGCAGTAGAACCCAGTCCTTGTCTTGGAAGATTGTACCCAGGAAAGTGGGGTGCAGGACCACCTATGGGCAATGGGGGGACAAGATTTCTGTTCCTTCTTACTCTAGCCAATCAACAGAGCTGGAGATCTGTGAGAGAAACTACTACATTTTCTGCTACCAGAAATCAACTGTGTAAGGAGTTGATTCTGAAATGATATTATTCTTTTTCTGGTCTGTTTGCAGCCTACTTGCTGAGGTAGTTTTTACCTTTCTTAACCTCTCTGGTCCATCTCTGTTGCTGCATCAGATGGAGTGCTTAGGGCCATATCATACATTGATTTCCAGGCAGAACCCCACTGGATTCTGTGGGAATTCTGTTTTAAAAATCAATGGCATAATGTGATTCAAAATAATAAAAAGAGAGCAAAAGGACATAGAGGTTAGTGCATCTATGAGCTGTGATTTTGAAAAGTTGATTAGTTACTTGCATCACGTGGAGTGTATACTGAGCAGTGCTGTGCATGCCTTGTTCAGAGACTGAATGCTTTTATTTTACATAAAAGGTGGAGAACTGCATCTGAGGCATGGAGACCGTGACTTACCTTAGAGTTTATCCAAACTTTTGAATTAACTCTATGCACTATAGCTATGTTTGTCACTCAGGTGCAGTCTTTTAACACTGAAAACTATTATCTGGTATTTATATATTTCCCATCAAAAAAATATACACATTATCCTAAAATTTCAAAAAACTTGTACATTTCTGTGCTTGGCAGCATTGCTCTAATTTTATTTTATTTTTTTCCTCTAATCAAAGTTTTAAAAACCACAGAAGCAATGTCAGATTTATTGTACATTTTTGAAAGTTTTTATGAGACTCTAATGTTCTAAGCATGGCTTTATTAATTTTATAGTTTATTAGAAGAGTTCTATTATTCCTGAATGGCAGGTAGCTCTTAAGATATTTTGCACTTCCTATATCTCTGCCACTTTGTATTTGTCAGAACTGAAAGTCTCCATTTTGCTTTGAATTTGTGATCTTCCAAATTAACAATTCAATTATTCCTCTTCCCAGTAAGCAGACTCCTTTTGTTGGTTTTGATACTTAATGTATGAGATTTTTGTTGTTGTTTCTTTGTTTTTCTTTCTGCTTTTATGCCCACTTGTTCATATTTTCAAGAATTGTAACAAAAAGTCTGATTTTTTTGATGCTGGATGTCATGAAGTTCTGTGGCACTGATTACTTACTTGAAAAAAGACAAATTGTTATCTCTGATTGGGAAAAGAATGTCAATTTATTACATGTGAGCTAAATAGATATAAGCAAGAATAGGAATTGGACATTTTAAAAGTTCCTGGGAATATGATCTATCAAAATGTATATATCTATTTTACATGCTAGCATCTTAGATAAACCACATTGCAGCCAGTGACTGCTTATTAAAACACTGATAACCTACTTGTACATACAAGTAGATTTTTGACAATGTTAAGTAGTTCTTTGAGGGAAGATGCAAAAATAAAATAATGAAAAAGCATTGATTGATTGACACTAGTTTATTGTCCAAGTGGGCTATAAATCAGCCAAGCTCACGTGAAGTGCGGTCAATATGAGAGAAGGAGAGAAAGAAGGGGAAAAGACTTTATAAAAGACTTTATATGTTGGAAGATTTAACCACTTATTTAATGAGTGTGAGTTCCCTTTCTAAACTTTCTGTTAAAAGGCTACTTGGACAATGTTGTAGGAAACCTGTCCCCATGACTAGGGGGCAGATATCAAGTGTTTTCAGAATGTACACTTTTCTTCAAAAAGATCATTTGAAAGAACAGTATCCTTGCATTTACTTTTGTTTTTCTTAATCTAACTGGAAGCAGAATAGTATTTGGAGTACTTTCATTTATTTAATTGTCAATAATACAGGAAATTCTGTGTGAGTAAAATGTTCAGATGTTTTAAGAACCACTGTTGTGGTTTGAGGTTTGCAAACATATAGGATGTTATACTTGAAGAGGGGGATGCTAATAAAGGAAGGAGTGGCAGTACAATTCTTAGGAATTGCTTGAAAAACCTTCTGGGTATTAGCACAGAAACTTATTGGAGATCAACCAAGGGAGCTCCAAGAAATAGTTGCAGACTGAATCAAAGCTCAAAAAATGTGAGACTGTAGCTACTGATCTATGACCTTGCTAAGTGTGAGACCTTTTATAGCAGCTTACACGGTTCATGTTCAGGTGGATAAGAGTAAATGCTGAACAAATCTTTAGGTCTTTCCTCTCTTCTGTAAACAGTGCCTTGTTTGAACATACCTGGAACTTGTGGATCAGTGTGGGAGTCCAACTGTGGTTGCTCCTGCTTGAAGATAAATAGATATAAAATGAAAATCTATAATCTTGGGGAAAGTAAACTATATATAAAATAAATAAATTATATCTCTGAGAAGAGGTGGATGTTGCTGACTGAAGGCAGATTGATCTGACAGCAAGGAGTTGCTGGTTATGACTAGAGAAGAGAGAGCAGGAATGAGTCTAATGTGGGAGCCCAAGGGGGCTTTCTGGCATTTTTTTTCCAACTATTTACCAAGAAAATACTGGGGCACCTAAGCCTCAAGCTGCAAAAAGCAGGTACGTGCTTTTTGCACAGTTGATCTGTATCCTCAAGGAGAGGGACACTAAGTGCAGTTGCAAGCTTGATGTTCTGTGATATTTATAAAATATGTCTGAATTAAGCTCTACATCCTTCTACTCTTACATGAACAGGATTTAAAGAAGACAAGAATGACAACTTCAGATTGTGAGATGAGAAGCAGACAAAAAGAAGGAAGGTAAATTGATTGAGTTTGTTATTTTGTTGGCTTCCTATATAAAGCTAGAAAATGATCAAAGGCAGATGATGCATGTGTATGTTTAAATATCTTCTATCTCATCTATACTACTTGTTTGTTTATTTATTTTTGCAGCTTTAAAATTGAAAATTGTAATGTCCTACCTAGAAAATGGGCATGATTTTTTTTTTTAATTAATTTTTTTTTTTTAACTAATCAAACAAACCAAAATGTATCCAAGGAAAAGCAGACTTTGTTGAATTTGACTGAGCTAACAAATAGGAAATGAAAAAAAAAAAATCTATTTTCATAAAATAAGATTTGTCATGTATAATATTTGACTACAATTTACCATTTATTTCATTCAATCACTCATTTATATCAGAGCCTTTTTATGTATGTATCTAGCCACAACACACTTCTGTATATACTTCTGTCTATTTTTTTGGATTACATTTCCAGTGATCTTTAAGTTCTGCAAATACTCTATCACATAATATGTTTGCCACAACATAACAAGACACATAAACAGTTTTTACATTATTCAACCAATATTCGGTAATCCACTATTATCTGCATTCTATAAAATGCCCTAAAAATGTGGTGTCCACTTAGTACTTGCCACAGGATATTTCCTGTAGCAAAAAAGAGCCTGATAACCGTGATTTGGAAGTTTGCTGTAACTCCCACAGAAGCCAGTAACTGTATGTATCTTCCCTGTAGTGGATGTTGGATTCGGAACTGAATGAGAGAGAATGTATCATTTTTATTTTATTTTATTTAAGATATATACAGCGACAATGAAAACATGTATCTTCAAGTTTCAGCTCTTTAACTATTTAATTTCTTTTTTTTTTTTTTGTCCATGGGTTCTAGAAAGCACAAGAATGATTGGACTTTCAGCGTATCACCTTCCAAATGATCTCTGCACAAAGGTATGACAGGAGAAATTGATTTTCACTTTTCATCAATATTTCTAAATTGTAACACATATTTTACACACACACACACACAAAAAAAAGATGCATCACCCTGTTTTTTGTCAGCATTCCTGAATTAAAGAGCATTGAAAGCTACTAGCTTGGAAGTTTCAGATTAGTAATTTACAGCCTGCAAATGGATTTCTTTCTTTCAATGGTAAGTCAGTCAGTGAACCATTTATTGCACATGGATGATAGGCAATTCACTCAGTGGATGTTATTTCTTTTTTTCTTCTTGGCATTTCTCCTCAAAGCTTGAAGCAGAATGAATTTTGATTGAGATTTTCTGGACATTTCTGAAGTTTCATGCTTTATTTTGCTTTTACCAGATGGGGTTTGATAAACCACGATGTATGAACTGAGAGCGCCCTTCATAAGTTTGGTGGGTTTTTCTAATTATTGCTGGTATTAGAACTTGAAATACTGCTGTAAACTAGTTGAGTTGGAACTGCAGCTTCATCATCAATGCTTCATCATTTTTCTATATTTGTAACTGATTTCATTGGCAATGTGCAAAGCTTCTCTGATCCCTCATACATCCTCCTCTTATGGTTCTGGCTCAGGTAGGAGAACTTCTGGAACTTCTGGATCTCCAGGGAGACCACAGTTTCTAGTAAATGTTGACATTCTACATCTTTCCCATCTGAATTTGTTTATCTGTGTGTGTTTAGTTTTCTGCTTTGATGTTTACAGTCAGATAGATGTTACTATATATCATATTTATTTTCCTAGAATTAGATGTGAAAATTAGCCTAGAGAGGCAAGAATGAAGTGGCTCAGATTAGCTTAACAAAACAGCTCAACAAGACACATTTTCAATGCCATTTACCTATTAAACCCATTTCTTAGAACTCTGTAAGGGTTTGATGTAAAGCTTTATCTGAAGATGATTCCTAAAGACTGCTAGAAGACTTGTTACAGTGTAAATCCAACGTGTACTTACTTATTATGTTCCTAGTGCTTATTACGCACTTTTTGACTGAGCAGCATTACAATACATATTTGTTATATATTCACACGTATAATTATAAACATAACTGGGGTTGAATCTTACAGAGTACATAATCTATTCCCCAAAGATCTAATGATTTTCAGGAACTCTAATGACAGAGAACTTTGCCTTAGCATTTTTATTTATTTTTTAATTATTATTTCTTTTTTCTGTTGTTTGCTTTTTTTTGTTGTTGTTGTTTTTTTGTTTGTTTGTTTTGTTTTTGTTTTGTTTTTTGTTTTTTTGTTTTTTGTTTTTTACTACAAGGTAAAATCATTTCCAGCTAGGATTCACTGCAATTGTTTAGCTCCCTTATCTAAATACCACTCTATATTCAGATATGTAGCTTGAATAATTGACAATTATATACATAGTTATATGAACATTCATTGTGCTTGTTATCAATATTCTACAATACATGAATATGTGTCCTGCATGCCCAAATAATCTCTAGATCATCCTGAAAACATAAGAAGCTCTAGACAATACATCTGAGTATGTTTTCTTTTTGTAACACAATAAATCAAATCTTAAAAATATATTGCATGTATTAGTTGCACCTTTTCTTTTCTTACCTTTTCTTAGATGCATATGTATTTTCTAAAAGCGCTTGAACTGACTTAATTTTTTATATTCATACACTAGATAAAACGTACTTAAGATGTGAAGCTTACCTTAGAGGAATGACATTTTCTGCCCTGGAAACTGATTCTTGGCAACCTTCCTAAAATGAGTTTCCAAGTTACTCATTTTTGTGTTTCAAGTTACAGTGCCCATACTTTCACTTTTTGTTGTTGTAATGATTTGTCCCTATCCTATTAATGATTGCTGATTAATGATTCACACATCACGGAACCTAAATGTTGGATAAGCGCAGCCTGGAATAGATGGGTCATACTGAAGTTACAAAGGGTCTTGCGAGTCTGGAAGTGAAATTCAAATTCCAGAAAGAGATGAAAAAAATTATTTAAGGATGCAATAATTGGACCTTCAGACTTGGGTTTTCTCTTGTTTTGTTATACAAAGGCTCTGAACCCTGCACATGGTCAGACAAACACTGGCTTTATTCATAAATTTTAAAATTAGATTTAAATAATCACAACAGGTGACAGCAATGAAAATATATCACTATGCGTTCACTCATTATCTCCAAATACAATAATTGATAGATAGGTATGGCTTTAGTTAACAATGGAATGGAGGAAACTGTAAATCTTACAACCTAATCAAATTAGAAATCAATATTTCTTTTCCCTGCCTTTTTTTTTTTAAGGCAAAGCACTGAAAAAAATATAATAACATTTTAGTCATTTAGCAACACTAAATTAAATTAATGTCCGTGGGCTAGACTTTACCTATAAGCATAATAGCTCTCAGGAGGAATGTTTTTAAAGGAGAGAGACGGAAAGGGAAAAGGAGGAAGGAGAAAGAGCAGAGATGGTGGTTTGTTGGTATGCAGACAAATGAGACTGTAGTCAGTGTATGCTAATGTGAACAAAATGCTTCAGAGAAAGCCTTGAACAGGGCAATCCCCAGCACTCATTATTGTTTCTACTAAAAAAAGGGAATACACGTGTCTCTTGTGGTCTGTGTAAATACAGGGAAGGTTGTTTTTCCCTGGAGTAGTTGAGTACAGCCACTTTCAAGCATTCTTCTTCTGACAGACAGAAACCCTTTTCTTTCCATCTCTTCTTCCCCCAGCTGCTGGATTTTTGAATGAATTTGTATTTCCTAGGAAATGAAACTATTGATTTTCTTTCTAAATAAGAATGAAAAGTACATGTTGTTTTTATGTTGCTGTGTTTTTGTTGTTTGTTTGTTTCCTAGATAGTGGATATTCTGACTTAAATCCAGCCTTAGTCAAAATATCGGGGAGTATATTCTCACCTCTGCCGTTAACTTCAATAATGTTTCAAGTCTTTATACCTGCTATGACACAGCTTTCAGCATCCTTGTTTCTAACAGCCATTCAGAGGATCACTCAACAATTGATTGAGCTATAATTTCATGGCAGGTTCTTCTTTCTCTTCTTTTTCTCATTTGCTTCATTTGTCATTCAGTATTTTCTCCTCTCTCTCTTTTTCCTTTTGCTGTTACCCTGTGATCAGACTCTTTCTGAAGTGGAAACCTGAATCTACTGAATTACCTTCTTGAAAGAAAGAAGTCAGGATGCCTGTGTGTGTCTATTTATAATGAATGCGTACGGATGTGATACAGTGCATACTCATGGGATCCTCTTGGTATAAACTGTTAATATAGTCTATGCATATTTCCAGACCGTATGAACAGCTGTATTAAGTCTGTTGAAAATATTTGTATGATTTTTATTGAAGAGTTAGGGATAAGAAAGCTTACAAAGTCTTTGCATAATAAAAATTCATCTTGTTTTTTTTTTTTTCTGTTCCTTGTACTCTTTAAAGTACATTCATTCCACATTCAATGGATTTATGAAAGCAGATGTGTGAGTTCTCTTTGCTGAAACGTTGAACTGCAGGTGTATAAAAGAGAGAGAGAGAAATCCATGCAATAATACATTAAAGTGGAAATAGTAGAAACTTCTTCATTTAAATAAAATGTGTTTGTCACTTGAACTGTAACAAGAAATATTAAGTTTAATCATTTGTTGTATACAATTATATAAGCTTTGATCAGAAATGAGTTTTCAGTAATATGTGATGAAATAAGAATAGGTATGTGAAAGGTGTTTTCACCTGTAAAATTATTTGGTTTAATTTCAAAGATGTGAACCCACAGTGTTCATTCTATTAGATAAAATGTCTTTCTTCTATTCCAGGGACTTTATTCAATTCATTGTTCTCTGAAAATCAGATTGTATTGTATTTGCAGAACAATAGGTAAGCTCTTCTGTATTTAATACGTGTAGATGCTTATAGGTACATATAGGGAAAAAGATATTCTTATATACTGTGTTGCTCTTTAAAGATTAAAGTGTTGTTTTTGTTTTTGTTTTTTTCTTCAGTGTATACTGCATTGAGCTTACATTTTTATTGATACTCCTCTTTATTTGTTCCATCTGGTGTAAACTGAAAATTAATTCTTGTGGATTTTTTGGGCAGAAATAGAACATAAAGATACCTGAGCATAGGAAAGAGTGAGAGAAACAACCAAAATACAATAACGACATAAAATGAGTAGTAAGGATAAAAAAGTGTTATCCGTTCTGCAAAAAGATATTTCTTAGTCCCAGGTCTGCTCTTTCTTTTTGTGTGTGTGTGTGTGTGTGTATGCAAACATGTCTTAAACCTTTTGCATTCAGTTTGGTGTTCATTTTTCCCGTAGTGTAAGCAAGCAAACATCAAAACAGTATTATGCTCTTGGCCTTACTTGAATTCTAAAGACAAGTATGCCCAAAAGTCATTTTTTTCTTTAATATTTTATTCATGCAAAGTGGTAAGTAGGTTAGTAGGTATAACAAACACACTTAACTCTAAATATCCATATTCTTCTGTACTGCAATGCTACCTTCACATTTCATGTTTATTAGCCCTGTTACAAGAACCTCATCTGTGGCCAAAAAAAAAATACCCACAACAACAAAATGAAGAGTAAACTATCCCTTAGCTGATTTTAGCCATGCTGGAGTGAGGCAAAGGTCTGATTTTAAACTCTTAGCTCCATCCATATGTTCAAAAATGTTGTTAAAAATACCACACGCTGCATAATTACAAAATAACAAATCTGTTAGCTCTTTCTCTGCTTCTTTTAAATATACTTTTGATGTCTTTGGAATTAAAAAGCAGAATGAACGGTATTTTCAAATATTTCATCTCCTACCCAGTACCTACCTATGTTTTTTGTGAAGCTTTTTATCAGGCGAGTGCATTTTTTTTTCTTTAAATACACGCTGTTATGTGAAAGTATTATAAATAGAGATATGCTTTGTGCAAATAGTTTTGGCAAAAAAAGAAAAACAGTAAAGTGGATTTTCGTTTTGTGCATCTGATAATGTTTTTCTGTGTCTTGTAATATAAATATCTAACATTGGTCCTTTATGCTGCTGGGTCAGTTTGATGTTTCTAGCTTCTATTTATTTACTCTATTTATTGTTAGTTATGATGTTAAAAAAGTCCATGATCAAGCACTTTCATAAGATGCTTATAGCTGTTTGTAATTACTCAAATTATGTTCAATTCCATTTGTACAAAGAGAAGTGACACTTGACATATATTCCTTTAAATATGGTATACTTAAGCTTCATAATGTTATATACTTTGGACTCTGTATATAAAAGTTTGTGTATGCAGGATTCTTCTTGTAATTTGTGAATTTCATCATGAGTTTTGAAAATATCTTTAAGATGCCAAATTTTGAGACACCCAAATATGATAAGTATTATCCATAATATTTCTCATTAAGCAATCATTTTTATTTCCTAGATAGCGACATTTAACGATGAGGAAAATAAAATTATTTTGATTCTTATAGTGAAAAATCCAAATACTGACTTTATTGAAAAAGCTTTCCATAAAGCAGTTGTGTATGAAGAACAGAAATTATTTAAATTAAAAATATATACATTGCAAGGACTCACACTGTATGAATAAGGCTTTGTGACTCACACTGTATGAATAAGGCTTCTTAAAGAACGTTTTCAAAGATCTTTAAATCTTTTTGTTACTTTCACTGGACTTTGTTACTAGCCACTCGAATAAATTTTTTTCAGGGATACATTCAGGGTTTCATTTAGAACCTTAAGCCTGTCGACTTCCTCTACTCACAGTCATTCCTCAATACCAGCAGCCTGAACCATATTTCAGCTAATTTGGTGAAGTTGGAAAATCAATTCTGTTTTACAAATACTAATGCTGTGATCATTATCTTTGCTCTAAGGGCTTACATTTGAACACAACATAATTCAGATTAATAATGCATATTTAATAAATGCTAACATAAGTACCAAGGAAGCATTTTGGTTTCCAAATGAATCTCCACATACAGTTGTAATAACTAATCAATAATTAATTATAAGCTAGTTGACCCAGTAGACTCTTGCTTCTTATACGTATTAAAAAAAAGGAATCTGGTAAGCTGATTGGAAAACTAGAAAATATAATGTATAATCACTTTTTCTGCTATCTCTTCACTTGAACACAAGATTAAGATTTATTTAGAGTTCAAGAGTTCTTGCAACCGCAAGCATAAAATTAAAAAGAAGATAAATCCTAAATAGGGAAACAAGTATGCCAACAGTGTGTAATGCATGTTTGACCTCTGATCTAGTCATATCCAATCTTGGACTTTATGCTTTCAGTGAACTTAGTTGTGAACCAGCCTTTATGCTTATCACAGTGTCTGAGGTATCACAGGGCATCTTACCATAGTTTGCGAAGCAAGTCATGTCCATCTGGCTGACACTGAGGAGTTCCACACTGTCCTCTTTTGCCGAAGCCTGGACTAACTGCTGCATTGAAGACCTTGAATCTTAAAATGTTCGATCTTTAAACATATAACCATAATTTCTTGCAAGGTAAGAGCTTATTTTTAGGCAGTTCACTATCACTGAAGGTAAATCTGGTTTTAATGTACGAGGACCACTACAAAAGCAATTGGCCCGCAAAATCAGTGATGGTATGTCAGTAGAGTTGAACCTTCCCACTAATATTCTGTTACATTTCATTGCTGAATGGAAGATGGCAGCAGGGGGGCAGTCCGACAAAATGTCTGACATGAATGTGCAAATGAAGGAAATGTGTATCATTGATATTCATTGATGCTTTCTTGGACTCTGGAGACCAAACAGTGGATGTTAGTACAGTGAGGCAGTGAGTGGTGCATTTCAGCAGTAGTGACAGCAAAAGGTTCACCTCCACTGGTGCAGATTCTTATGAGCACAACATGTAGGCTCTTGTTCATTGCTGGTGAAAATACATAACTAATGGTGTTGAAAAATAGTGCTTAGTTGCACTAAGTGTGCATTATCAAACAGTATGTTTGTGCTCTTTGGATCTGTTGTAGTTTCCATGGAAATAAATAGGAGGTATTACTTTCAGAGAGACCTACATAGCTAGCTGTCACTGATTCTTCTGCTAGCAGCTGTCTACTGCTGGATAGCACTCAAAGTTATTTGTAACCTTTTAGAACCTTAAAAAATACAAAAACCAACACGTGCTTGTTGATATTGTTGAGTGGAATCGGATATGTTAGCAGTGTTAACAAATGCTTTGAGTTTTATCCATGTTCTTTGGTTAAAATGCACAAAAGTGTCTCTAATGTCTTTCTTATTTAACAGCAGTGTGTCCAATGAATTCCCAGTGATGATTTCTCCTAACTTTGGGTCCTGGTCTGTAGTGGTTTCCACTCAACAGGGAACCCCTGTTCTGGCTTGTCTGAAGTCAGCTTTTCAGAAATCCAAAGCACACCTTATCCCACTTTGATTTTCTGATTGCAGTGCATGACACTTCTTCAATTTGTAGGTAGCTTAGATCAGAGAACTGAGCTTTGAGTAGGTTGCAAACATCTAGTCAAGATTAAATTAAAGCTAACTTTATGAATTTCTTATGAGCATAGTTACAAAGTTTTGATTGGACAAATAGGAACAGACATGGTTCATAGCATCCAAAAGATGGATGGAGTCAAGATTCTAGCTTTCTAAAAGTTTGGAAAGAAGGAGACTGCATCTCACTTTCAAGTCTGAGGTCTGCTTTGTTTTACTGATGATAAGCATGAACATTTAGAACAAACAGTCTAGCAAACAAAAACAGTAACAGCAACTTCATCTCAGAATACATCTCTGACAGTTGTATCCCTGATAGAATATAACGTTATATTGTTCTGTGGTTTTTTGGTCTTGTACAAAGGTATCCACAAACAGAGGCTGTTAATCTTGTTTTAGTAAACAGAGAATAAAGGAATACTTAATTGCTTTGGTAAGATACCAGTTAGTTAGTAGATATACTTTAGTATGTAAATCGTTCCTTTATCAGCCATGTTTTAGCAACTTTCTAGTCACGAGGTATGAGAACAACTGTCAAAGGTTTTACGAATTCATTGCATTAAGCGTGCAGGAAAGTGATAGATATATGATTTAGCAGTTTATTATTCTTCATTAAAAATGCAGAAGGGTGTTAACAAGGTTTTGTTCTCAAAGGTATTACATGGAGAGAAAAGGGAGAGAGGCTAAAGTAAAAAACAAAGCTATGGATTGTTACAGGCTTGTGTATTGTTAAAGTCAGATGAAAAATCATACTTATTTATTCCAAAGCCTCGTTGTGCAGTAAAACAGAGTTAATGAGAGATCAACCCTATTGCTCAGAAATCTGAAATTTTGGCAAATTTCAGCTCATCTTCAGTTGGAGCTGGATAAATTTGAGTTTGTCTGTTTCTCTGTAGCTTCCATGGAAGTCCAAGCAGCTGACTAATTAGTCACTCTGAAGTAGAAGACAAGTGTATTGTCCTCATTGTCACTTATGTTTCTGGTTCTGTGTATCACCTTTACTCCCGAAGTCTCTTACTGTTTTGCTTCGTAGATTCATCTTTTGCGTGTGTGTGTGTGTGTGTGAAAATGGGCACAGCGAACTAATAAGAAAATCGTTCATTTTTATTTTTCTTTTCTGCTTATGAGTTGCATATGAATAATTAACGAGCATGTTGCATGCATGAAGTTGTTATATGCTGTAATAAGACAGTGCTGCAGATGTTGCAGTATGCAAAAGAAGCAGCTCTTTGCACCGATTGCACCAATTGGTTGCCCACTTGTGAAACTGTAAAAATATTTTATTAACGTTCGTTAGTTAATTTCTAAAGCAGAATCCGATTCCGTATATTTAGAATGGTGAACATGTATTCTCAACTGAAAGAGATATTAGAATAAGGTATCCATACAATTCTTCATCTAGAAAATGAAATAATTTCTAACAGCATAATACAGAATTAAATGTATGTTTTTTGTGATGTGTGAACGTAACTATTTTTATTGAAGATTGTAAATGTGCAGGACAATCTGCATTTCCATGAGTGATTTGGTACTGATATTTTTTTCCTATTACATTTTGGTGCAAAGT